CATTCGGGGATTTTCAACACCAAGCTCAAATTCAAGTCCAAAACATGCCAAATCTCACCAAATACAACAAAATGACTTGAATCAAAGGAATAGCCAAGCAATGGCATACAAGAACCCTAAACACAAGCTCTAGATATGCATTTTCACATGACAATTCATAAACATTCACATTTCATTGCAAAATCACACGTAGAATCCAAGAATCATCAAATAGGTAAGCAAAATAGATTTTGTAGAGCATGGGTTACCTCTTGTAGACAAAAACCTTCACTTAACACTTCACCAAGCTCCTAATAAGGCTCACCTTCCAAACCCACTTCAAGAACACACCAAAAGATCATAAAGATTTCACCTTTAAGAAAAGACACCTTAGAAAACACTAAAAACACAAAAAGAGCTTAGATCTTACCCTCCTAGATGCTCAAAAGTAGGAAAGGTGGAATCTTGAAGACAAACTTGAAAGATCTTGATAACCCTAGATTTAGCTTGGAGAGAAAGCTAACTAGCTATTTAGAGAGAAGGAGGATCTTATGATTTTGGAGAGTGTTTGTGAGAAATGAAATGTGTCTCTTAGGTTAGCTTGAAAGACTATTGCAAGGGAAATGTCTTATTTACCCTTACTAAGATGAAATGTGTAAGGGAACAAAGGAACTTTTCACAAAGCTTTAGGTACAACTCTTGACTTTGGGTTGACTAGTCAATTACTAGTCCCCGACTATTGAGTTTTCAGGAATTTAGGGAATTAAATTATCAATTGGATTAGGATTAATTACTCAATTAATCCCTTAATTGAATTTGGATTACGGGGTGTCACACTAAGATCACAATCATATATACAGCAAGGCAAATCTAAAACTTCCTACACCATAATCTCATTCCATGATGCTGCCTTCTATGCTACCACTAGTAACCCAATTGCACATGACACATTATCAATAAAAAAGAAGAGGACAAGTACTGAATATGAAGACAATGACAATGCTATCCAAAAGATAATTAAGAAGATTTAGAGAAATTTAAACCAAACGTAGTATTTATTTAGACTATCGTTTTGAGACTAAGTATTTTGACTAACGTTATTACAAAGTTGCAAACATTTGTTTTAGTTACAATTATAATCAATCTCTCATATATTATCTTGTATTTATATACTTTGAATTACTGATTTAAATAAACAAATTCAACATTCAATTACCTATGCATGAACATCTCCTATAAAATCTTGCATCATTTATATACTTTGAAGTACTTATTTAAAAATAATCATATATTTATCATAATATTTATTCTATATGTTTATAATCTTAAACCTAGCTTAATGCACACAAATATTAAACTACAAGTACGTCATATTTATTGTCATTAATCATGTAATAAATTAATATGTTCATAATGTTTAATTTATTCTTATGTTTATAAATTTAAAGTTGAATATAATATACATAAACATTATACTACATGTGCATACTGCATGTCTAATAACGTTTATCATGTACTATGTTCGTAATATTTGTTTTATAGGATCATAAATCTAAACTTTAATTGATATATTAACACTAAACTACAAATACATCATAATTATTTTTATTCACCATGTAATATGTTTATAATGTTTCTTCTATGGCCCTGTTTGGTAAAAAATTGGCCTATAGGCCAATTTTGGCTTATTTGACCACTATTAATTGTTTGATTTAGTTAAAATATCAATATAAATGTTTGGTTAATTAGTTTTTTGCAACTCCAAAAGGCTAAAATTCAAAAAGCTACTCCAAACAACTTTTTTAATTAGCTTTTTGAGAAAAGAAATTATACCAAACAGCTATCAGCTAACAGCTAATTTACCAAACACTTTTCTACAATCAGCTAATGTTATCATCTATTTATACCTTCTAATTAACACAATCAGCTAACAACCATTTTACCAAACAGGGCCTATATATTCTTGATGGTTTTGGGTCCACCATAAACTGGGTATATAGGTACAGAACGTACGGTAGGAAAATAGTAACTTTATTACCCGGGGCGCTAGGCCCAAAATAGTACGTACAAAGCCCGAGATATTGGCCCAAAATGGCGGCCCAAAGAATACATAAATGCGTATCGATAGGAGAGAGAAGACTCAAACCACTCAGCCAGAAGGGAGGTTGTGAACCAAGAGATGGTTTTTAAGGGAAGGGAAGTACCCTATTTATATTGTTGAATGACTCACGGATGGTTGAAAAATGGACGACATCGGACAACCTTCATTCTTAGCCACACACGTGTCTCCCCACTACTTTGCTTTCGGCGCACTCCCATGCATTCTTGGAACTCATGTTGTTATACTTGAGGTTGTGGGTTTGAGCCTCATCATGTCTAAAATGAACTCCTTAGAGTTCCATGTCCTCATCTTTATTCTTATAGAATAAAGTTTAATGCACATAAACATTACACTGTATACATAATATTTGATTTGTGTGATATACAGAAAAGCTTTGTGTGACATTATATTTATTTATTTATTTATTTTATTATTATTATTATTATTATTATTATTATTATTATTATTATTATTATTTGTTTTAAAGGGATGTGTTACTAATCATACCGAGAAGTTTTGCGAAGAATGTTGGGTAATATGGTTTAAAATCCCAAAAATAATAATAATCCTACGGAAAGATTAATATTATATGGGAAAACAGAAAATTGGGAAGGAAAAGGTTGAGTGTTTGGGTATAGGTTTAGCACGAGTTCGAACACGAAGTTCTTTTCCTTAAAACCTTATTTGCTACCTCCCACAAGTGCTAGGAGCGTTGTAGCCTAGGTTTCCCAGGATAAAACGTGCTACGATTCCTTGTTTAAGCACCTAAACAAGGAACCCGGCAAACAAAGCAAAGTAGAGAACACTAGTTGGTAAAGAAGAGAGTAGAAGCAGAGTTTTGGGAAGCTGAAAGCTACTGGAATTCCTTTCGTTTTTGTACTGTGTAAAATGCTACTGCTTCTACCTCTCTTTATATAGGGATGTTGGAGTGATAGCATTCAACATGGCCATTAAATTGGTGTTAAAACCAATTGTGTAACACCTGTAACGGTCACCACTAAGTAGGATTAAACTCAGAATTTAAAAATTGAAATTAAAACAGTATTAATTCCGTAACAGTTTAAAAATTGGAATTAAAACAGTATTAATTCCGTAACAGATAACGAGAGTTCACACTCTCGTGCTGTGGTGCACCACGAGAGTACACCTCTCGTGTTCACCGTTACCGAAGTTAGGCATAACTCTCGTGCTGTGGTGCACCACGAGAGTACACCTCTCGTGTTCACCGTTACCGAAGTTAGGCATAACTTAGCCCGCAAGGCCAGCCCATTTCCGGACGACATCCGTGCCCGCAGGTGCCGGCGCACGCGAGCTCGGGCTTGATTTCAAGCCTTTTTGATGTCCTCTAGTTGGATTTTGATTTGCACCCCCCCCCCCCCACCCGCGCGCGCGAGAGAGCCTCTATGCTATACAATTCTACAAGCTTGAAAAGAGCTCATGTATATAAGGGGGGCAAATCTTGTTTCCAAACCAATGTGGGACAAAGTCCTACATTTTCCCTTCATTTCCCAACTTAAATGGGTCTACTTTGAGAATCAATATCTCATTCACCCATTATCCGTTTTGAGCGTACAATATATCAATCTCTTCGTCTTACTACGAAGAATCCGAATCCACTTTGACCCGACCCAAATCGGAAGTGGACCCCACTGATAATTGTACCACAAAATAGCCACTTAATATGCCATTTTATGCCATTTTAAGCTAATTTTTCCAACAAAGAATACGAATGAGAAAAAGGTAGCATTTTAGACAAAAGTTTATAATATAAATATTTAAAGAAAACTATAAGAGAAATATGTAACATTATTTTATAAGTTGCATTCCTTCAAATAAGAATTTCATAGTGATAGAGATAACATTGCTCAAGCAAGTATTACATTTTTAAAAATCAAATGACATTTTAATACCTATGCTACTAGAGTTATATAATATAACCCGTATAGAATAAAAAATCTCTTTAGAATTTTAGCACAAATTTTCCTCATATACGACACTGACATGTCATAAAGTGACAACTACCGCACCAACATGAATATTTTTAGTATGCAAACATTAAATTAAATAAAAAAGTATTTTAAAAAAATTTGATTGATAAGGAAACACGCAATTATCCTCAATAACTCTTCTTGCATAATGAATCGTAAACTACACATAAAAGGTAAATCGCACTAGGAAGACCCTATTCAATATAATTGATCAAAAAAGTATTGATAAAAATTGAACTCATGACATTTTAGTAAAATAATCATGCTTTATCTACTGGGTCAGCATTTTCGAGACAAATAAAAAGAATTATTCTCAAATTTCAAGTACTACTGTATAATTTTTGTTTTTAAATATTAGGACATTTATTAAAGAAAAAAAAAACAAGAAAATGAGTCAAGTGTATGGATAAGATGATATGAGTTCAAATTTTAAGAATACAAATAAAATTAACCTTAATATATAGTCCTAGTTGATTGATTGAAAAAAATTGTAAAAGAAAAAGAAAAATAACAAAAACTATTCATATTCCATAATAATGCTTATGTCACTTGTTGGCTCTTAGTGTTGGGCAAATTATTTTGTGGACTCAGGGTCACCTTGCAAGGTGGATTTGGATTTAAAGATACACAATTTACATATTAAATATTCACAATTTATAATGACTATATGTATTCAAATTGTCAAAACTTAAAAACACAATTTATATTCTATAAATTTATAATTCTAATACTAAAAATACACAGTGGACCTTTATCCATGGTGTATAACTGTTTGTGTTGTTGTTTTTGTTTTTTTTTTTGGTTGGGTGGGGTGGGGTGGAGGTGGGACTGTGGTCTGTGGGAGGAATAAATTAGAGTAAAAAAAAATGAGAATCTAAAATGTGTGTTTTGAAATAATTAAAGAAACCATAATTTCCCCTTAGTTACAGATTTGCAGAGTGAACTGAAAAGGACATTATGAACGCACTCACAGAGTCACAGCCTCAGAAAGGAGACAATACCATCTCATATTTCACTAAAAAGCAAGTCTCCTGAAACTATACCTTCCTTTTGTAAGTATTTTGAGTACGAAGTTGTATGTTTTTTTCTCTGTTTTTGAGTTCAATGTTCCATTTTTCCCACGTTTGGTGAGTGTGTGTTTGCAATAATTATTGCTGCATTGTGATGTACTTTGTTAATCGCAACATCCTGCCTGCCGCTTTCTGAATCTCTACTCTGTTGTTGTTTTTTTTAGTTTCTTGTTTTCTTAACTGCTAAAGCTCAGTTTTTTTTTTTTTTTTTTTTTTTTTTTTTTTTTTGGTCTAGAGTGAGGCCCTGTGGGCTTCTTTCTTGTCAAGTTCTTAATGTCTTGAAACAGATTGCTTTTGTGGTTATTTCTTCAGTTTAACAAGTATTGGATTATGTATTGCTCAACAGTGGGTACTGAAAGTGTAATAATTTTGGCAGAAGAAGAAATAGGGGGTTGGGGCATGTGTAACAATGATTATTGGGAAATGACTTCACTTTCTCTGCAAATCAGACCAATCTTACATAATTTACTTGCAAAAATAGTTAAACCCTTGCAATAAAGATGTGATCTCTGTGTGTATCAGTGTGTGTTTGTATATATACAAAGAGAACTGTTTTAATTGTTTTTTTTTGCATATCAGTTTGCTCAGATTTGTGCATTAAAGTGAAGATTATTGTGGAGTACTTGCAGCAATGGTTTTGGGACCAAGTGGCAAGACTAGGGGAGTCCCCTCGGTTCAGGGTGAATATCTAATTAACATTGTGGAGATAAAGCCTTGGCCTCCTTCTCAATCACTGAAGACGCTTAAAGCTGTTGTTATTCAATGGGAACACGGAGACAAGAATTCGGGTTCCACTACTCAAGTTGCCCCAATGCTCGAGACCGAGTCTGGTGTTGGTAATGGAAGAATTGAATTCAACGAGTCTTTTAGGGTTCCAATTACACTATTGAGGGAAATTTCCAGTAAAAGTGTGAATGGGGATACTTTCCAAAAGAATTGCATTGAGTTCAACTTGTATGAGCCACGGAGAGACACGACTGTGAAGGGTCAACTGTTAGGAACTGCGGTTATAGATTTCGCCAATTATGGGGTTGTTAAAGAGGGTTTAAATGTGAGTGTTCCTATTAACTGCAAGCGGAGTTATAGGAACACTGTGCAGCCTCTTCTCTGCTTGAAAATTCAGACAGTAGGAAAGGGTCGAATGAAGTCCTTGGTGAGGAACAACGTGAGGAGAGAGTCATCAATGGACAGCAGCGCTGGTGAGTCTGTTTCTGCATTGATGAATGAAGAATACACCGAGGAAGCTGAGACTGCTTCGTACACTGATGACGATGTTTCCTCACACTCATCGTTGGTTAACTCTTCTTCAGCTGTTGAGTCAAACTGCAGTTCACCACACCAAAAAGAGGTATATTGCTTGCATGATTTATGCTCCTCTATTTATTTTTGCCCGTGGGACTTCTTAGCTCTTTAAAATTTTTCCTTTAATAGTGTGTTTGGATGGGTAGGAAGAAAATCGGGTGAAATTTTTTTATTCATGTTTCAATCATCTTGGTTCTCCAACATCTTTAAATAGTTGTTGATAATGTGATAGCAATATGGAAAATTCTTGCAGAATGGATCTGAAGGAGGGAAAAATAGGCGTGCAGAAGCTGAAAACAATCATGTATTAGGTTCAGAGCAAAAGATTAAAAATTTAGACAAAAAGCTTGTAAGTGAACCAGTTTTGAGTTTGAATGCGAGTTCTTCTTCCTCCCCATCCACAGCTTTGTCATCGGATCTTGATTGGATCTCGAAGAAAATTGGTGCCCGTAACAATATTAAATCCTCAACTTCGTTTGAGAAGGATAGCAGAATGGAGTGCACCCCGAACACTAATGTCAAAACCAACACTGGAGAACAAGCAGAAGGTGTTGACAGTGTAGTGATAAATTGTGAAAATGGCAGCCAAAATCATAGCCAACAAAGAACCGAGGAAAGTATATGTGATGGTTCACTTGTAAACATTGATGATAATAGGAACTCTAATAACTCTGTTGGTCATATAATTAAGGCAGATATTGACGAGAGCTTTTCAACCCTCTCAAATGGTATTCAAGAGGATGCAAGAACTGGTGTGAGTGATAATGGTTTAGCTGAGGGTGAAAATACGGAGGGCCATCAAGGAAACACTCAAGAACTAGTCACAGAAAGAGACAAGCACCAAGAAACTGGAGAAGGGAAAGAATTGATTATAGAGAAAGGGCAGTGCTCAGAAGGTGAGCCTGTGAATAGTTGTCTGCAAGACAATACTACTAAACAACACTTGGAAGGTAATAGTGCAATTATCGCTGGCAGAGAAAGCGTTGGAGCAAAGACTACCTGCGATGAGAGATTAAACCATGTGAGTTCTGTTCACACCTTGGGGGAATCAAATAGGGCTAATGGATCTGTCAGAAGTAATCAGTTTGTCTTGAGAGACAAACGGAATAGCATCGAAGGTATCACAAGCAATGACTGGAAGGACACTAAGGTGCGCTCCAAAGAAACTTCAAATGTGGTTCTGGAAAGAAAATGCCAAGAGTTGGAGCAAAAGATACAAATGCTTGAAGGAGAATTGAGAGAAGCTGCTGCCGTTGAGATTGGTCTTTTCTCTGTGGTTGCTGAACATGGAAGTTCTACAAATAAGGTCCATGCTCCTGCTCGACGCCTCTCTAGGCTTTATTTTCATGCCTGTAAAGAAAATTCTGTATTAAGGAGACTAAGTGCAGCTAGAAGTGTGGTCTCTGGATTGATTTTGGTTGCAAAAGCATGTGGAAATGATGTCCCCAGGTCTGTTCTGATTATACCACTTCCTTTTCATTCTCTGCCCAGCTCTAGTCTCTTGTCAATGAACATAGCATATTAACAACTTGTAGACAATATAGTGATTGATTCATTGATTGCCTACTAATTATGGGAAATAATACTGAATGAGTAAGAAATATGCTTATAAGGAAACCATATGATGATTTTCTTTTTAAATGAATGGGTTTATCTGGGTGCCATTGCACATTCAATATGCAAGGGGGGAGTGTGTGTGTGGGTGCGGGGATCGCGTTCTTGATCTATTAAAATTGAACTACTACTTTTCATTCTGAAGCCTTGTGAATATGAAATTATTCAAACTGATGCACAGGAAAGATGGTTTTCTCATATTGATCCCTAATGATCTCCTTTTTCTCCTTCCCTAATGGCAGATTGACTTTCTGGTTGTCAAATTGTGTTTTGCTGAGAGCAGCTATTTGCAAATTCAGTGAAAAGCAACAATTACCGCTTTCTTCTGAATATAGTAAAAATGCGGTGGTCAAGAATGAAAGGAAGGCATCTCCGCTCAAGTGGCAGTCCTTTCCCCACAAGAAGAGTGTTGGAAATGATCTTCCTGGGACATTTGAAGATTGGGAAAACCCTCTTGGATTTACAAAAGCACTTGAGAAGGTTGAAGCTTGGATCTTCTCTCGAATCATAGAATCTATTTGGTGGCAGGTCTCTCTCTCTCTCTCTCACTCTATAATAAGTATTGCGTAGATCTTTGTTAATGTAAAAATGCTTTAAGGTATGGTAAACATGTTTTTTGTTTGAACTGTAAGTAATACTATTCGAGTATTAAAATTAATGGCCATTGCATTCTTCCAGACTTTCACTCCGCATATGCAGTCTGGTGCTGCCACAAGCTTGGATTCCGAAATAAACAAAATCTATCAAAGAACTTCTAGTTCATGTAGTGAAGAGCCCGAAAATTTTTCTTTGGAACTTTGGAAGAAGGCCTTCAGGGATGCATATGAAAGGATTTGCCCTGTTCGAGCTGGAGGACATGAGTGTGGATGTCTACACCTGCTCTCTAAACTGGTAATATGTGACATTTGGTAGATGGTTGATAATATTTTTCATATTTAAACGGTGTTTCCTTAACTTATTTCAATCATGAACCTAGTTGACGCTTGGATGATGAATTCCCTTTAATGACCAGATCATGCAGCAATGCGTGGCTAGGTTGGATGTTGCTATGTTCAATGCAATCCTTCGAGAGTCTGCTGATGATATTCCAACAGATCCGGTATCTGACCCCATCAGCAATCCCGAGGTTCTTCCTATTCCAGCCGGAAAAGCGAGCTTTGCAGCTGGTGCACAACTGAAAAATGCGGTGAGAATCATTAATGCTGAAGTGGGTGGAAGTTAGAATTGTCCATATAAACAACTCATACTCTAAGCTAAGCTCTCCGTTATTGACACTAAGTTCTTGAATAAATTAAAATTGGTCTTAGACAAAAAATGTTGTTTCATTTGGATCCCAGATTGGAAATTGGTCGAGATGGCTGGCTGATCTCTTTGGTATTGATGATGACGACGAAGACGACGACTTGGTTGAGGATGATGAAAATAAGGCAGATAATAGTAATGGGCATGAGAGAAAAGCACAAGATGCGTGCTCAAAGCCTTTCTATCTTCTTAATGCAATGAGTGACCTTATGATGCTTCCAAAGGATATGCTACTAAGTAGGACAGTAAGAAAAGAGGTTTGATTCAGAATCTTGAAACTCTTTAAAGTAGATAATATTAGTCTATCAGCTCTAACTCCTCGATTTCTCTTCAGGTATGCCCCACGTTTGGACTCTCACTGATAACAAGGGTTCTTAATGTCTTCATCCCAGACGAATTCTGCCCCGACCCAATTCCTAATGTCGTACTTGAAGCCCTTAATTCAGAGGTGACTTTGCTTCGCGTTTTTTGGTTCTCATGGAACGGGACAATAATAACTCACATATTAACAAGAAAGAAATTAAGTTTTGTTGTGCTTGTGTGCGTTACAGGACCACATGGAAGTGGAGGAAGAAAGCGTGGTAAATTTCCCGTGCTCAGCAGCTCCCATTGTGTACGCACCACCCTCAGCAGCTGCACTAGACGGGATCTTAGGTGACATCAGTAGCAGCAGTTCTCAGCTGACGAGGAGCAGATCTTCAGTGCTCAAGAAATCATACACGAGCGACGATGAGCTGGATGAATTGGATTCGCCGCTAAATTTGATCAAAATGGAGAACAGTGAGGTGACAAAACCTGGGGGTGGGAGTGGGAATGGGAATGGGAATGGTGTCAGATATCAACTCCTGAGGGAGGTGTGGATGAGCAGTGAGTAATGCTCTACTTTGTTTGGAAGGTGAATAGTGTTACTGTATATGTACATATATATAATGTGACTATTATTAATTATTATGGGCGGGAACAATGTTGACCCATCAAACTTGAGTTGAGGTTTAGCACTTTAGTCACATTTTCGAGAGGTATGGTGCTTTATTTTCAGTTGTACAAAAGGTTATGGTTAAGCTTTGAACTGAACGGACTATGGTTATGGTTAAGGCTCTTTATTTTGGTGAACCATGAATAGCTGGTTACAGTTTGAATTGGATGGTTCACGGTTATGAACCATTAGTTAAACAAAAATGTTCAACTATATGTGAAAATGTAATTGGATCATCCATTTCAAGAAATTACAATTGGATCTCTAAACAATTTAAACTTATGTAATTAAATCAAAATTGACATGTTCATTTAGTTATAGTAGCGTGGTGGTCATTCAATTAAAATTTCACCCTTCTCTCGATTTTCGTCTCTTTCGGAGAGGAAGAAATGGCCTTTGTCTCTAGCCTAGAGACAAAAAGGTTTCTTCGTCTCTGGTCGGAGACAAAGAAATGACATTCGTCTCTGGCTTGGAGAGAAGATGTGGAGGGGTGAATTTTTTGTTTTTGCTTTTTTTTTTTTTTGTTGTTTTTTTTTAAAAAAAAATTTTTGCAAGGTAATTTAATTTTATTTAAAATTATTAAAATAAATTTAAAAATAATTTTTTAATAAGGTGATCGGAAGAACATGTCAATTTTGATCTAATTGCATAATTTAAGATCATTTAGGGACTCAATTATTATTATTTTTTTTTGAGTTAAGACTGATAAGTGCCAATGATGCATTTTTATGAGGGTCATTTTGATGTTGTCTTGTGCTTAATTGGAGTCCTTTTGTGCTTGATTTGTGAAGAAATGCTTTTATTGTGTTACAAGGACTTATGACATGTGTGCTTTAGTGTTTTGAAGGATTTTGGACCAAAGTGATAGCATATGGGTATGATTTGAGCATTTTTGGAGGAGCGTTGCAGCAGCTAGGCACCAAGGAGGCTACATGATCGTGGAAGAGCTCGTAGTTTAACTTCTATAACTTGCACGATCACTGCACGATTGTGGCAGCATTCCTAGGAGCGTCACGAAAGGCTGCACTATGGTGCACGACTTCGTGATCGTGGCGGAGGGCGCGACTTCTATTTAAAGCCCGAAGTGTTGACTTTTTGAGGGAGCTGAGTTAGTTAGTTAGATGATATTTTTCCAAGTTTAGTCATCTAAAAAACTCTCCCAATCTAGAGAGAGAAAGTAATCCTAGGTCTAGTAACTTGATAACCTACTTTGATCTTGGAGCAAATATCTTGATTGATTGAAGAATTTGTTGATTGATTGTTATAATTGAGTTGAAGCTAGGTAATCTCTACATTTTTTCCATTTCAATTTCATCTACATCTCCTCTCATCTACTTCAATTCAATGTGCCTTCAATTTGAGAACATGAGTGACTAGAACTCACTAGGGATTGGATTAGCATTTACTTGTATGGTGCTAGTGTGGATATGAATTGTTGAATTGGATTTGTATTTGTGTTTATTGCTTGAATTGGATAGGTATAACATTGTCACTTGGATGCTCTATTACACCATGATAGGCCTAAAGACCTAAAATGGCTATGACAATAGTACACGCCTCTCTTGAAGTCCAATAAACACAAGCATGCAAATCCTACTTTTGGCACTAGACCACTACAAGGAAAAGCTCATCCATACCCCATTCATTCTCTATTGTTTAGTTTATTTGCTTGAACACTTGTTTACTTTTGTTATTTGCACACTTTGCTCTTGAAAATCTCCACAATGTTCACACGTACTCCGGATCTTGCTTTTGAAGGGCTTTAGTTTGTCTTTTGCATTACTACATATCATCACTTCCAAATTTGTCATCCGTTGAGAATGACATGCGGGGAAATCTTCATTCTCTACCCTACTTTCAATCCACTGCTAAACTCACAAACTTTGTCATAGCCTAACTATATTTTTGTGTGTAATTTAGTGACCTATTTGAGCATTATTCTAAAAACAAAAAGTGATAACAAGCTAAAATTATGAGTTGACAATTCAGTTCAGTATTTCAAAATTTCAATTAGTTTTGGTAAAACTAATTACAAACCCTTCAACTTTAAAAAAAAAAAAAAAAAAAAAAAATTGCAACACTTTAAAAATTAAAACTTAAAATACAAAAATTTAAAATATGAAGATTGTACAATGCTTGAGATAACTATCCAAATAATAAATCTATTGTCCAAGTAATGGACTAGAAATAATAATGTTGCTGTTAAGAATTAAACTCCGGTGCTCCTTTTGGAGAAAGGACCATAAGCCACTGGATTAGGATGAGTATAGTAAACTAAGAGATCATGCCTAAAGGGAGACATGAGACCCCTTATATAGTGCAAAGGACCCTCCATATGCTTGACAAGTGTGCGACTTTGGTTATCCTCCATTATTGGCCATACATGTGTTCCCCCAATACTTGCCACATCGCCCTTCATATGAATATTTGTAAATCGTCGTACCTTTTTATTTAAGGATTGAGTAGCTTGATTGGTAGGGACTTGTATTGGTATTTAATGGGTCATAGGTTTGAACCTTGGGACAAAATTCCATTCCTCATCTATGTATTGGAAATGGCTTTCCTCCCATTGAGCGGTTGGTTGATCTTTCTCGTAGCTTCTTAGTTTTTGTTCCTTTATCAGTATCTTTGTAGCTTTGGTTTACTTGGTTTATGCATCGAATGTTAGATATACAATAGTCTAACTATAATAAATCATAGTATACGAGAAACCTGACCTCGTATGATAGCGGAAGCGTAGCCATGTAGATCTCCAGCCATAGTTGATGTTCCTGTTGTGTTGCCTCTCAACGGTAGACCGTTAGCCATGTTTTGCCTCAAACCTGACTCAGAACCCTAGATGGTATATTGGTATCTACTGAGCAGTCTGAGTACCGTAACTGAATGTGCTAACATCCAACATCCTGTATCCCATCAATCCAGGATTATATTAGGCACAGAGTTTGGTTGACTAACAACTACTAGTTATTAAGTCCAACCAGACCACTTAATAAGCCTAGTCAACTTGCACCACTTAATTAAGGCCCTAATATATAATATATATAATATATATTATTAGGGAAAATCTTACATTCTCCCACTTGGTGCAAGTACTAGCACAACCATCATCAAAGAACAAAACACACGAATCGTAGTGATATGTCCTCTATTTAATCAGAGTAGTATCCATTATGGTCACATGCATTTTAATTCTCCAACTTAGGTCCTTAATGAACAAACCCTATGTTTATTCTCGGTACCTTAAGGGATGTTTATCAAAATATATTATGTGCACAACTGAAGGAGAAAACGCATCCAAATTGTACAAAAGAGTACACTGTATGATCTCTAAAACTTTATAAGCATGCCTTAAGTAGAGATCTCTTAATGTTAGCATAATGCTAATTATATTCCATGACTTCTTTATAAGTTAACTTTAAGTACTATTTCTAATGGCTAAGAGCTTGGAGTTGACACGTCTGTCACTCCCACTCATCAAAAATAGCCAAAAGATAGTCAAGTCACAGAAGCATTCCAATAACTTAGACAATAAACCAAATGTCCAAGTCCATAAATTTGGAATCTTAAACATACACCATAACTTCCCAAATAACTTCAATGTTCACTTTAAATGAACTGAACATAATGAGTCTTACTTTTATGTCCCACAAAATTGTTTTGAGCCTTACAAACCAAAATGGCCCAGGATCAATTTTGAAGAAACTAAAGACTTTATTAATCACTGAAGAATTTACTAAATTACAGTGCACCACAAGTTAAATGCTTGTGTTCTAATAAATTCCTTAATATTGTTGCAACATTTTCATAAATATGTTGTACAACAAAATGTTCAATAATTTGAACTTATGAATTTATATGAACAAATACAAAATTGATATTTGTGGAATCTTTTGGACTTATTGTTTGACATACAACCCAATTTGGAATGTATGAATACAATAATTAAGTCTAAAATCTTTAGTGGAGTAACTTAATGATCTTTTTCTAAATGATCACTCCCACTGATTAAAATATTCTTCAGCGAAATTAATAAAGTGAACTTAATAATATACATACTGATAATTGATTTATTGACCAACTAACAAATGAAGACATAATTCCCCACCATTAGTTGGACATACTAAATAATCAATTTTTGGTTCCAATTAAAGTCCAACGAAATAATGAAGATATATTTCCCCACCATAGTTGGACATACTAAAAAAAACAAAATACATCTTTCAAAACCAAGTTAGAATTTGGCTCAGAAGATACATTTTAACATTATTGGAATCCAAGAGGTATGTCAAATCACGTAACTTACTACAGTTAGTCCGAAGAACCGAGCAAGATCCGTGGATCAATTAATAAAAGTTGCTAAATTTTGAGAAGTGACTGAATACATGTTTTGCCAATGCAAACCATGAAACTTAGAATTATAATTGAACTGAATTTATAACTCTAAGAAATTGTGATAAAATCATTATCTAATGGGTGGTGGGATTTATTGACATAAAACTTGCCTGTGGGCTAAAGTTTAATTCTATTAAATCCAATTAAGAAACCCTTATGATAATATTGTTCACAATTGCTAAAGAGCCAGAAGAATCTAGTGACAAAAAACTTGCCTGTGGGCTAAAGTTTTACTCAATTAGATCCAACTGAAAATTTTATTTATGATGAAACCATTATCAAATGAGTTGAAGAATCAAATGACATAAAACTTGCCTGTAGGCTAAAGTTTTAGTCAATAAGATTCATTGCTATCATTATGATAAAAAACTTAAGAAATCGTGTTCCCTTTCTTAATCCCTGTGGGCAAATTAAGAAATATGATCTAAAGTTACATCATAAACCTAAACTTCATGATAGAATTGGAAATTATTTACAAATAACCATAAAGTAAATGAATTGATTTATTTTTATCGTCACTGATAAAACTACTAAATTACATTCTGATACATAATTGCCTGTGGGCTAAATTATGACCGTAGTCCAGTACTTCATCCTGATTAATTATACAAATATAACAAAATTGCCTGTGGGCTAAATTTCATCATATTACATACAATTAATCACAAATGATATGTCTAAAACTTTATGTGATCAAAATAAACCGCTTAATATATAATTTTAACAGATTAAGGATGTTGTGGCTACT